ACGTTTCATTGCGCTGGAGTCGTTTTTCAGAAAGTCTCCGAATATTGCGTGGGGCGCGAGGCGGCGGGAATGCGCCCGAGCTGTGCCCGCATTCGAATTGGCTAATGAAAGTCTGTCTCCGGCGGATTGGCAGAGAGGGCGAAGCGCTTTCGCAGTCATTATTCACAAGTGGTGCGACGAAGGGCAACGCCCCTGCGAAAAAGGAACTACTCGCACTAGTGAGCCCCCCCCCCCCCCCCCCTCCTCAAAACTACAACAACATGGATTGCAATCTTGCCCAGCGGAAACAAACTGCGATTCCGTGCACGTGCGTTGTATTATACTGCTTTCAGCAGGCGGCAGTTGAAATGGCGTTTAACCGGATGATGATTGAGCAATCGGCGATACAACTACCAATTTTGAGTTTGAGCCTCGCTTTCGCGGCGCTGACAAAAGAGAAATTTTCTTGGATGAAGTATCACTTTGAATTCCCGTGCGAACTCCTATAAAAGAAGTCGATCGGGATATTTTAATTTAAAACAAGAGAAGATGGACATGTTCATTAGCAGCGAGGCACAACACAAAATGTTTTCACCACGACCTGTTAAGACCCACAGAAAATAGAAATGATGAAAGTTTTGTAACTTAATTTCCGCTTTGAGGAGCGCTAAATGAAGCATTCTAATTTATGCGAACACGGTCTGTGAAGAGGCCGACACGTGGTTGTCCAAATGAAATTATAATATTTTATATTCTTTACCTGTAGCGGGTAAAGACTACAAAATAATCTTGATTCAATCGGAAAAAATCAAGAAAAAAAAAACGGCACACACTGCTTGTTAATATTACACGGACAATAACCAATGCTCTCTCCTGCTCGTCAACACTCTTAAGTATGCCTTAGACCAGCTAAAACTAGAAAAGAAGAAAAAAAATCAATGTTTATGAAGCATGAGTTCTGTGGAGCCTGTCGGTCACACCCTCGGAAACGCTGTTTTTTGGTGACAGGCAAAACCGAGTTCATCGGGAAACGATCGGGCACAGCTGCCCACTGCGAAAAAAAACAAACAAAACAAAACAAAAACATCATACGACAGAAGGAAGGTTTTCTGTCTGGAGGGGGGTCACCCAGCCCGTCTGCAAAACCACGGCTGCTGCTGCTGCTCAGGCGTCGCCGAGAAGTCCCTTTCCTGCCCGGGGGGGCGGACGGGGGCAGGCGGTATTTTCAGGAATTTCCCTCCCCCGGGGGGCGCTCCCCTTAGTCTCCCGGCTTCGTCTGTTTTTGTCACCGTTTCAGTTTAGACTGATGAACTGTCTCCGACAGTCGCGAATGCCCACCGCCGCGAGTTGCGGTGGCGCTACTGAGCGCGCCATACGCGAAAGCAAAGTCGGCCGTTATCTGTCATGCAGGTTGCCATGGCGTCTGTTGCTGATGCCAACTTTTTATTCTTCTGCTTCCTTGCTTAGCCCTTTCGTAGACTGACGAAAACAGACTCGGCGACTTTCTTCTGGAAAAGAGTCCCCCTTACGGAAATGGAAAAGTGTTCTTTGACCAAAAAACAAACAAACAAAACATGTTCGAAAAAAAAAAAAAAAAGAGAACAAAGAGAGATAACAAAAAAAAAAGTGGTATCTTCGCTGCCTGGCTGCCTTCCAAAGAGTGGTCAAGAATAACAAATAATGGAAGCGATGATTTCAAACGTCAACATCAAGTTGATGATGTTACGATATTACCGAAGCATATACCCGACATGTAATAAATGTCGAGCGCTGGAAATCATAACCAAAGACGTGCACATTACGTCTTCGATACGTCCCTGAGACGTATCGAAGACGTAATTGCGTACTGCCGGGTTTAATGACAATGCCGTTCATTGAGACTTCAAGGCACCTGAGATTCCATCGTGCTTCTTATCGGGCAGAGCCGAGTGGCAACTGGAAAGTCGAGTTTGCGCCGTTAACGAAATGCGCATCCGTTAATCTTCGCGGCGCTGGCTCTCCCCGATGAAGAAACGACACACGTTGTTCCCGTTCCCGAGCCTCGAAATGCCGTCGAGCTCTTGCCGCATTGCCAGGTTTTCTGTTCACTGTCGAGATCGTCCGTCTTGCTCGGCTGTGAGTCAGCAATCGCCCCTTATCTCACTCGCTGCTGGCGCATGGGCTAACTGCGGGATGCGACGAATTGGTTCTGTTCCAAGTTCGCGTTTCTTGCTTCCCGTGTGGACTCCTCAAATACTGCCGCCGCGTCGGTGAAGAAGGCTCGTTGTTTCGCATTTTTACAAACTCGAGTTTGACGGGGACAGGTTTGTTCACGTTGGATGTTCCGCGGAGTTAGACGGGACGCTGATAAATGGAGCACAAACTCAAGTTGCGGCAACCGCGGAAGTTGTTGGTATTATAAGACGACGTCTGCGTTAGCGTCAGGAAAAATTTAACCGTCGAAATCCGTGGTGCTCGTTGCGTGAAAGTTTGACATCAATTTCGCCACGCAGCGAGTCTGAAAGAACGGATTGATGAAGTCGAGTTCTTGTTAAAATGAACAAAACGCAGCTTGAACGTTACCAATTCAGCCTGAATATCTTGAACAAAAGCTTCTTTCTCTCTAACTCTCCCGATTAAACGGGGACTGCTTGGATCTTAGCTTCACACAGATGCAAGTCCGGTTGGCGTATCGTGCCCAAATGTTGACCGACGCAGCGGCGAGGATAGTGATCTGGAATGCGACTTCCCAGCGCTGGTCCTGAGGTTCATTGTTCGTGGGGGTTTGTGACGCCCTTCAAAAGGCCAGGCGGCTGTATTTAACGCCGCTCATGACTCATTGTTGCTGGCCGGTCCCCCTTTTGTCAACCTCCGGCCACCAACCGCCGCTGAGCTGTTGCTTTCAAGAGAGGTTCGATGCTCGCCACTGGCAGCGAATGAACTCTCCGCTTCTCCTCTCTTCCATTCCATTCATCATTCTTCTCTGAGCTGCCCTTAGTACCTCATTTCTTTTTTTCTTTATTCTCAACGCGTGATTTTGCCCTCCTCTGTCTGCCCCCCTTTCCAGCCGCAAGAGCATTTGACCCTCTCCTCTCAAACCTCATTGAATGAGCTATTTCATTCCCAATGTTTGCACCACCAAGTCTCGATTCGTATACGAATGGATTGTTGGCTCTCGCGGATTCGATCAACCGAGCTAACAATCATGCGCTATTGAAATCCCACGTTTTTGGCGCTGTTTCATTTCTTTTTGTCTATTTTTATTTTTGTACACCATATTATGGGAGACGATCCGAAATGGTAGAGGAATGAGAACCCTCTTCTTTTTTGTTGTTCAGCATAAAAAAAGAATAAAATAATTCAAGGCACTGCTGATTGGATTGACCTAGAGGTGCCCTCGAATGAACTGGTGGCTTCATTGTCGCATTTTACTGCTTTGTCCGTAAGACGGGGAACTCGAAGAGATGATTTGAAGTTACTCTATTTTGTGGCGTCTGCTGGGATCGGCCCCTTGAAGAAATAAACGAATAAAGGAATACAAACCGAAACAGCGACGAAACAAAGCCCGGTAATCGAAAACGGCGGCCTCGTCATTTTTGCCAACTCCCAGGGCTTGTGCGTCGGCGTATGGCCCGAGGGTCGCTCTGAGCGTTGCGGACGAATCAATACCGTGGAACGTTGCTCTGCCCAAAATTTACCATGAAACTGCGTCCAGCAGGGAGACCCGACAGAAAGAAAAAGAAAACTGGATAGACAAGGCAAACTCGAAAAGGCTCTGGCGTACAGAAAACGGTGCAGTCTTCAGTCAGAATAGCTTACGCGAACGGATATATATATATATATATCCATTTCTATATACATGCGGCTCTAAGAGGTGACACGGGACTCGAGCGATAAATCAACGTTGTTACAATATTCGTTTTTTCTTCTTTCGTCTCTCTCTCTCTCCACTTTGTCATTCTTTGATATTATGTGGGTGAACTCGAAGCAGGGCAGGCAGAAAAGGACGCGAGCGAACGAAAGACAGCCCTCCAAATAAAACACCACAGAGAAAAAGCGAATGCCATGTCCCCTCTCTCTCTTACTCTCTTTTGGTTTGCGTTGCCCTGGCTGTCTGCTCCGCCGGCCTTGCTGCAGCAGCGGCGGCGGCAACGGCGGCGGCAGTCGTGCTGGCAGCGCGGAACCTTTATGCTGTCGCTCCGTTGCTGCCGCGATGCCGCTTTGTGCACGGCTTCCATTTTTTTTGTTTGTTTTCTTGTTGCTCCGTTTCATTTTTCTCCCTCTCTCTCCATTCATTTTTTCTTTCGTTTTATTCCTTCACTTCGTACACGGATCCAAGCAGGAGAGCGTGCGCGAACGCCTTGTCCCTTCGCCTGCGTGGTGGGCATGCAAAAACAGGCGGACGAGGCCCCTTGCCTTTCCCCCCAACCTGCGTGCGACGGCGGCAGCGGCTTTGCACAACAAGAGACGCCACTCGCGCACTCGAGCGCCTGCACGCTCACTCGTGTCTCTTCTCGCCCCCCTCTCTGCCTCTCGCGCGTACTGTGAAAGCAGCCTTGCACCCTTGGGAAACAACTCTGCTCCACAATGTAAAAATATAAAAAGAAGAAAACGTACAAAAGAAAGGGTGCAACTGTTGGGAATTGCGGAAACAGCCCTCCCGATTCACCTTCCCCTATTCCTTCGGGTTCATCTGACGTTTGGATGCTGGAGCGCCGCGGTGACGTAGTTTAGGGTGGATTAAGGGTTGCCTGTTTGCTGTGTTTTAGGGGGAAGTTTAACAAAAAAGGGCGTGGACGCTTCGGGTGCCTTTCGGTTGGCTGGCTCGTTTGATCGGCTTTACTATATATTCGGATGAAAGTGATATGGTTAAATGCCGACGAAATAAAATGCTGCGTGCGCGCAGAACGAACTTGTATGCCGGTACGGGATGATGAATAACAGTCCGGCTTGCACAACTGTGGCACCTCGTACTCCATGACATATATATATATATATATGTATATATATATATATATATATATATACATTTTTTTGTGTGTGTGCTTCTAATGATCTTTAGTAACTTTAGCAGATTCTGTGACTGTACGTTTGATCATGTACCCAGGCGAGTCCGGAAAGAATCGTGCGGTATCTACTTCCCGATTCTCCCGAATACGCCGAAGAGGTGCGCTGCCTTCCCATCACCATGCCCTCGTTGTTTCTTCATGCGATTTATCGAACTGCGCGTCATTTGATTCGAATTCCCCGGCTCTGCTCTACGAAAGGAGAAGGGGATCGCGAAAGCAAGGTGGGGTCGCCGTCAAGTAGACAGCCAGCGTGAACGATGGAATGCGACGGTTCAGGATGCGGTGTCGATGTCGTGACGCTAACGCGTGATTGCGCGCGCCCGCGTGTTTTTTTGTTTGCGTGCGTTGATGTCGTACATCTATGTATATGCGTATTTATAGCAGCGGCTGTAATCCGGATGGTGGGTATCAAATATTTACAGAGAAGTCTGAAAAGGCCGAGTCTCTCTCTCTCGCTCTCTCGCACTGTACCTCTTTCTCTCGCTCACTCTCTCAATCTCTCTACGTCTCGCTACTGTGGTTTCTGTCGGTTACTTTCGGACAAAGGCGCCGGAGGGCACCACTCGCGGTTATACACACGACAACGGACGCTAAGCCTTCTTTCCTCTCCGACCGAAGAGTCTAAAAATAATGAGAATCGCATCCTTCGTCGGCTGCACTCTCTGCCAAACTACGCTTTTCTTTCTCTCTCTACACACATGTACACTGCTTGTGGTCCGGAGGCTTGACCGCCGTTTCCGATCCAACTTCTGCTCTTTTAAAGGGATGGTATACACAGCTACCGAACCACGCATTGCCACTGGCCTGCCGCAGCACCTCGCAAAGGAGCGGCGCGCTTTCTACACTTCTCCAGCTCACAGCAACACGAACTGCAGCCTGAGCCACACTCGAGCGTCGCACGCTGTGCACCCTGAACGCTTCCCTGACTCTTCATTGCCATTAGGATCAATGGCACCTTCGGGGTAGACGCGAATAGCTCATTAAAATCCCTTCTGAATCGTCACACCACAAGCAACTGGCACCGGCCTTATATTTAGTGGATGATGTTTTATCCGCTTCCTTTTGAAGGAAATAGTCATCGGGAGAGTTCAGTTTGCGCAGCGGGCAACGCCCCCCTCCCCACCTTCGACAATAGTATCGTCTCAGGCCGCCCAAGAAAATAAGGGTGGATTAAAAACACTAGATAAATAACATCTGTTTGTAAAGTGACTTCACGTTTCCTTCTCGGGATAATTCGATTGAGAGGCTATAGGATGGGAACAGGCATCCTGTACAGACAAAAACACTAGTGAAACGGGAAACGCGGCGTGTGATTGGTTGGATGAGTACGCCCGGCACCGCCCCCCCGCGGCGAAGGAGGGGCTTCGGGAGCTTCCGACAATAGCTTTCCGCCGTAGTGGCGAGCGAGCGCAAAGACAGGCTCTTCTACTGCTTGGGACTTTGGATAGGCCGCATAAACTAGTTTATTTCGTTAAAGACCAGCAAAAAGTGGCCATGAACGTTCATAAGTGACCTTAAGGAATAGGTTGCGGAGAATAATATATTTCTGAGAACAACAATATGCCAGATTTTGGCTCTCTGTTCCTTTTGTAAACGTTTCTCCTCTTGACGTAACTTTGGTGCCCTTATTTTAGAACAATTTATTTAAAAAAAAAGTATTTCTGGAAAAAAAAGAAAGTTATTTCTGATCGTGAAGATGCCCCATCAATCGCCAGCGTAGAAAAGAGGTCCGTCCAATCACACGTCGCGGCATGTTTTATGCACACAACAAGAAACACTACAAACGAGGCTTTCCAAATCCCTCGAACCTTCTCAAGGCAGAAGCAAGGTGAACAAAATGAGTGAACACTGTCGAGATCTACGTTTAGGATTCTATGGCGCCGCGGTTGTCTCTTGCTTGCCTTTCGAAACCAACGTATGGGTTTGTATGAGTTTTCCTTCTTCATATGACTTGATGAAGCAGACAGTTCGCTCTTTGAAAGCAACTGAACCGAAAGCATCATTCAAAAACAAAACACCATGAAATAAGGACACCGAGCGAAAACAAAATGAACCCGTATCTACAAAAGAGATTCACAACCTCAAGTTCAATACACACAGGGCTCACCGAACGTTTCACGAGACACTCGAAAAACTGCACGAAAAAAAACAAACAAGAATGGGACGAATAATAACATAATGGTAATGATGTCTATGGTACACAATCGAAAACCTTGTCAACATTCACCAGTGTTAGAACCTGAGAACTCAAAAACTCCAACGGACACATAAAGGTACACGTAAACGTTTTGAGCAGGTCAAAAAAGGGAGAAAAAAAAAAAATGCAGGCATGTATACAAACTAAAATTAGCATCTTGTAACGTCTTTTCTTAATTATAAACATCCAAAATAATGTACAATAAGAATCAATATAATATAACGCGCCACGAAAAAAAAAAATCACAATCTAGAACACGTCTTGCACAATCGTCTCGTACTATGTCTCGCGTCTCGCCGAGTTTGACTTTCTCGGTCTTTTTTATGCATATCGTACGTAAGCTTTCTCCCCTTGGAACAACGCCACCCCACTTTCCCTTTCCAGAATCCGTTGTGCACACATAAATACGGGACAGACTTTTGCTCTTCCTTCTTGGATCACTTGCCTTTTCTTGTTTTTCCTTCTTCTTCCTCGCTTCGGATAGCACACAGCACAGCGACGAGACACACGCCGTTTCTTGTACACAGTCCCGCAGCGACGCACAGCGCTTGCTCGTCGCCGGAAAACAGTTTTTTTTTTTTTTTTTTTCCACACAGATCGGAAACGTCCGCAAGACAAGCGCTGCGCACCACTCGCGTCGAAGCCTTCCTGCGTGAACGTGACTCTCTTCACACCTCGCACGAGATCGTTCATCACTGCTGTCGTGTGTCTTGTGTTTCTATATAGGCTCATTCCTGTGCGTGTGTGTCAATGTGTGAGTTTTTTTTTTTTCGCCGTGTAATGTGTGCGCGACTTTATACAGATACATAATTTATATATAAATATATTCCCTTCTCTTATTTCCTTCATTTTCTTTTTTTTTAGCGGTGTCATACACGTAATTTGGTGTCTGCTATTGGTGGTTCTTTTTTTTTCCTTCGGTATTTCTTTCTTGTGCCACTGGTATCTTGAAATGCTGGGACGTCGTCTTCCCCGCTTCAACACTTGTCCGGGATTCTCCGATGGACGGACGACGTCCACATGGAACGCGTGTCCCAGCGAAGGCTCGCCGCTTCTTTTTCGTATCGCACCATCCCTTGTTTTAGTGTTGGTCGTCTGTATAGCGCGAGGAAGAGGATCCCGTGCTTGCGTCGTTCTGTGCCGAGTCTTCTTCTTGTTCAAACCATGGATTTGGGGCCAGCCGCTGGCTGGGATTTCTTCGTAAACGTTTCTGCTTGTTTGGTTTTTCGCAACACGCGTTCCCCGGGGTCAACTATTCCTTGACAGAATCCTTTGCTTTAGCAATACCTGCTTTTGTCCAGGTAGTTTCGTTCCTCCTTTGTTGAAGTTCCAGATGGATCACAGTTTGAGTTGCGGAGTTCTCCGTTCTCAGTTCTGATATCGAATGTTACGCTGGATTCTAGTCTAAGCTCGGTTCGACCCCAGGTTGTCGATTACCACGCACGTAGAGAAGACAGTCGTTGTCATTCTCAGGTTTGTTTGTTTCCCAAGGATCTGTTCGGCCCAATTTCATTTTTTCTGGGTGTTTGTACCGGGGTGTACTTTTTTTTTTTCTTTTTAAGAGAGTCGCTTGATTTGTTTTGTCTTGTTTGTTGCTACAAACAATTTGCTTTTATTTTATCTAATTATATTTTTTGGCAATTCGAGACAGTTTGGTACGTGGATAGATAATGCAACAGCGAACCCATCTGGCAGAGAAGGTACAAGGAATGGGTGATAATTTGGTAAAAATATTAAATGATCTTTAACGATGAGTATAGACGCAAGCAAACGATATTTCAATTTCGCCCACTGTACTTTAATGGAGTCGACATGAATGAAATGTTTCTAACAACTTAGTAACACTGCGTGATACGAAACTGCCACCGGGTTTGTTAGCTTTTGGGGAATCATCGCCAGATGGTGTTCGCAGGAGTTCGCGTCTGGCCTCGTTCGAGGGCCAAATGGTGGCGGGCGGTTGTTCTGCTCCTTGTACATATTTCTTTGTTAGGATGGTGCATCATTTTTTTTTCCTCTTTGACTCAGAGAGAAGTGAAAAAGAAGAAGCTTCGTACGCACATGGCAGCCGAGAGGGAGCGGAGTGAGGACTCGGGGGATGGGGCTCTCTCGAAACTCGACGTGCCAGAAGAGAGAAATAAGAAAAAGGGCAACGTATGATAAGTTAAAAAAAAAAGATGAAAAGATTTTGAGAGGTCGCGTTGGCCATTAGAGTTTAATCTTTGGTAAAAACCGAGCGATGTTTTTTTTTTTTAATATTATTGGTTTATAAATTTTTGGGCACAGTGCCTTTTTTAAACCATGACTGAAAATGCCGACATAAATTGTTTCACGTATTAAACATCTCAACGCGGATCACCGGTCTCACGCCTTATAATATGAACAACCCTCTGGAATTTCATAAGGCAGAATTACAAAAAGACTTCACAATCTCTCCCCCCCCCCCCCCCCCCCCAAAACCGAAAAAAAAAACGCCAATTTTGTTTTTTAAAGTTTTTGTAGGCTAATATACATTATTAGTGATTACTGCCTTCAACTCTATCCCTGGTTCCATTTTCGCTAAAAATAATGAACGTAGCTCCAATAGCCAAAGGCGACACACCTCAAGCGGCAATCTAAATGTCGGAGAAAAAAAAAGCAAAAAAAAAAAAGCACCAACCACGCACAAACAACCAAATCGTCTCGATGCCACTCCTTGTACACCCTCCGTAAAAGTAACGCCACGAGGTAGGCTCTGGAAACGGTGTGCGTTTTAAAATAGTAAAAAAAAGAAGAAAAAAAGAATACGGCGAGAAGTGAGTGTTAGGAGGGACAAGGGTAAAAGGAGTCAGCGAGCGCGATCGAGTGTAGGTTTTCCTCCGCTCAGGGGGCCGGGGTTGTGTGGGGCACGTCGTCGCATTGGGAAGAGACAAACAAACCACGATGTTATGAGAATGGCAGCAGCTGGCCTGCCTACGCCTTGGTTTCGCTGTGCATGTGCGGGTGGTGGTCGGGGATCACCTGCGGGATCTGGGGTGGAATGGTGTTGGCCATCTTGTGCTCCTTCTTCCACTTCATGCGCCGGTTCTGGAACCAGATCTTGATCTGTCGCTCGGAGAGGCACAAGGCGTGCGCAATCTCGATCCGCCGCCGCCGCGTCAGGTAACGGTTGAAGTGGAACTCTTTCTCCAACTCCAGGGTCTGGTACCGCGTGTACGACGTCCGCTGCCGCTTCGTCTCGCCCATGGCGTTCACGCCGTCTGCGGGGAGAGAGAGAGAGACAAGCAAAACGGTTTTAGGAGGGGACTACTTTTTTGTATGAGTGAAGAATGGTACCGTCTGAAACCGGGGCCACACTGCTTATACGTCATTCAAAGAGCAGTCTGCTTATAGATTCGGACGCGAGTCACCGTGAGGTCCGTACTTCGAATGCCGCATGGCAATGAGTTCAAGGGAAAAAACTTGGCGCGCTGCATTCGAACCACGAATATTGCACTTGAACTCGAATTCCGCCGCATGAGTTCAAGGAAAAAACTTGGCGCGCGGCATTCGAACCACGGATATTGCGGTGACTCGTGCTTGCAGACTGCATTTTGTGAGTCACCATGAGGTCCGTACTTCGAGTGCCGCATGGCAATGAGTTCAAGGAAAATACTTGGTGCGCGGCATTCGAACGACGGATATTGCGGTGACTCGTGTTTGCAGACTGCATTTTGTGAGTCACCGTGTTTTGTGAGACTCGTGTTTGCAGACTGCATTTTGTGAGTCCGTACTTCAAATGCCGCATGGCAATGACTTCAATAAAAAAACTTGGCGCGCGGCATTCGAACCACGGATATTGCGGTGAATCGTGTTTGCAGACTGCATTTTTTATGATGTATGAGCAGTGTGTGACCCCGGCTTTATGCTCTGTTGCAAGATGGACTCCGCCTCCGAAATCACAAAAGAAAATGGAGTCAGTGTACCATTCAATACAAAAACACCATTTTTCGTTGGTCATAAAAAATGCAATGCGTTCCTGAAATAAAACGAATGCAATATCACCATTGCTTCATTATATGTGCCTATTGTGCGTAGGGTTTCCTCTTTTTTTTTTTTTAGGTAGAGCTTTTCCCGCAGTTCTTGTGTTGCAACAGACTCTATAAACGCCTGATTAGCGCCACGCGGCTACGTATAAGAAAGTTTCGCATTCGAGCGGTTTACGGGCAATTTTGATATGTACAAGAAAACAGAAACGCCGTGTGTCATATAGGAATCCAATCTTACATGATAGAAAATAGAAATGCTTAGAATTTTTTTAACAATCACCAAAAAAAAAAAGCAACAAACGCGTCCAAGCGCCTACAAACGCGCGCGCACACATACACACACACACAAACACACACACACACACAGACGAAAAAAAAAATAAAAGGTGTCCGGACACCGGCTATTCAACTGTGGCGCTCATCCTCAGTTGGTCGCCTCAAAAGCGCCAGTGAACTTTGCGACCTCTTTCAACGAACGACGAAGCGGCGTCGGAGTCGTACAAAATTAATGGTCCCCAGCAAGAAGTGCCCTTATCTGTTGAAGGATCCGCTCTGGGAACCCGACACAAATCGGACCGAAATAATAGACACCTCCGAGCGACGACACGAGCACCTTCCGCTAACAAGCATTGGCCTTTGATATAGGCGAGACCCAACAGCCGGCTGATCCCGACGGCAGCAGCCGAGTGGAGAATAACAACCAACAAACAGCTCGACGACGCGTCGGCGTTCCCATAATCATTCGGATAAAGAGCAACGACGATAAATGTGCAAATGGAAAAAAAAGAAGAAAAGAACGGAAGAGATAAAGAGCACACGCTTTGAAACCCGATGACCGTTTTCCGGTTTTGTACACACGCAGAGAGCTGATAAGGTGTTTTGATTCTCGCGCACGCATCGCGCACCAGAGCATCCTTGTGTGACGGAAACCCACACGCGAGCACGTTCTGCAGAGACGTGCGTGCGAAGTGAAATGAGATATTCGACGCGTAGGAGAATTAATTGGTTCGGAAATTTGACACGGTCGTTGCTGAAGAGTACGAATCGTGGTGACACGTGCATCAATTTTTTTTTACATGGCGTTTTGAGATACAGAATAGATCACGAGGTTGCAGATCAGAGACGCTTGAATGAAGCGATGAACAGTTTTCCGAACACGCCAAATAACGTAATTTATTGTTGCGTTACTGGTACGTGTTATCCTGCATTTGGGAATGAACAATTTAGCATGCTGGTTTAGAATGTAAATGGTAGCTGGGAGCGCCACACATTTTATATGAAACATAAGGCACGGGGCAATGCTGTAGCGTTGCTGTAGCGAATGCCAGGCAATGTAACCCAGGATATGAAGCATGCGATACCTTAAGTATTGCTTGATTTTTTACAGAAAAAATTATACCCTCGAAAGTTATTTCCGCTACAGAGCTTCATAAACCCAACCCTTCGTTGTCCTATCCTCGCCTGTTCGCCAGTCAACGACTTAGCTGTCATAGTATGCAAAGTTTCACAAACCGGTATGTAACGCATCTCGCCATTCTAACCAGATTCATTTATTGTTTGTCTCCTAGTCTTACAAAACATCTTAGTGCAACCTCTCAACACTCTTGAGTGGGTGTGCGCGCAAAATGAGTGCTTATTTCTATATTTAATTATTTATTTGTTCCCGTTTATAACTTCCGTACAGTAACTACTACAACCTTCTGGTCTGCCAAATCAGGAGCCTTATTCTAGATACACATTTCAGTCAGCCTCAGATTCAACAGCAGCGGCGTTTCAGTTTGTGTACTGAACGAAAGAAACAGCAAAAACACACACACACAACGAAAGGCGTCTGCTTTTCTATTCCAAATATGTAATTGAATGACTGTCTAATAAAGATAGTAGAAATGATTACCTTCGTAACACAACCATCAGATTTCGCCATAAATATGTGATTCGCGATAATAGTCGAAATTCACGGGAGGCTGTCACTAAAAGTATGTATGAACTGCGATGTAAGTATTCAATTATATTGCCTGAGAAATACATAGGATTAGAAGGTTGAAAACCAAATAATCGACGTTGATCTTGTGGGAAAAAAAAAGAAGAAAGACGTGAGTATTTATACAATAGCGGCCGCCATTTCGTAACTCGAGAAGCATCTGTTTTTGTTTCAGCCTCATTTGGTGAAGGTCGCCAAACATATCTCCAAGCAGGCACGTAGCCAGGATTTTGTTTTGGGGGGTGGGCCCGCCCATGACAAAATGCTGTATCAGGGGGAGGGGGAAGAGGAAGTCCCCGCAGAAAACGGATTCTCTCATTTTACAAGCCCGCCCTTTACGAGCCTGCGTGCCTCTCTAAGCAACTGCAGGCATGCACAATTTCTCGGCAGAAAATTCGAATAATGTTTCACTGCAACGTATCCGGAGCTTAGCGAATTGCGAGGCCGAAACGACGCTTCTAAAGTCACTGATAGCGTAAGAAGCGCCGGGCGGGGCCAATGTCGACATCTCATTATCGCTCTTCAGCCAATCGCATTGCGGCATCAGCCGAAGAAATAAAGCTAAAGAACGAATCACAAAGCGCAGGAGCATTGTTATAATAGGCCACGCCTTACGTTTCTAGAGCTGTCAGAGAATCTAGCACTCGAAAACCCTGGACATATGAGTACGCTTCTCATATGTTAAGTTTTTAAGCCAATATCGTATTTTGAATCGGGGTATTTTTTATCTTCTGAATTGTAGACTTTTATTCATAAAAAGCAACAGTGATATGCTTGGTTCGAGCGATTTTGCAGCGCCTCTTGGAGTAACCAGAAATTTATTTTGGAGCAGAAAAAAAGAAAAAGAAAAAGATAACACTATTGGAGCTCTTAAAGGGGCGGTGCAATGATTTTAACACTGAACGAATGTGCAGCTTGTATTTTTGATATTGTTTACTTCGGCATAAGTAAGAGAAAAAGTGCCACCATACCCCGAAATACCTCTATTTCGCTGCGTAATTGTGAAATAAAAAACGCTTTTTTCCCAACCTGCGGCCACATGGTGGCCGCAAATGGAACTATATGGTGTGACGTCATTCGGAGTGGTTTTTGTAAGTGATAGTGTTAGGCAATTGTAAGCTTGATTTAAGGTTAAGTTTAAAAAATCTTGTTGTTTAGGCATGCAGAAACGCCTACAAAGCCTAATATTGCCGCTAAAAGGGTATGAATTATTTGTGGCGCCATCTACCGCAAGTCAACCAAACCTGCCGTCGCCGTCATCCGTCGACGCCCGAGGCGCCTACGGCGGCTACACGAGCAACCCGGACGTTTTGTCTTTCCCTCGCTCGACGGAGTGCGTTGGTCGTGGTCCGTAGTATCGTGGTATCGTTATTGTTCCTGGTGTTCCGACCTCGACTTCGACTTCGACTGCCCGCCGCGTCGCAAGCATCTTGCGCTCGACATCGCTCAGGCCGTCCGCCCATGCCGCCATGTTGGTCGGGAATCGGCGGGAGAGCGGCGAGCCTGGTGAGCCGGCGAGCGCTGGGGAAACGGAAGCCAGAAGAACCCAACCGGAAACCAACGCCACTCCGAATGACGTCACAGGCGAAGCTGGTGCCGCTTCAATGTTGAGTTGAGGGGTGCCAGAGAAACCAATTTCTTTTATTTTTTTAATTAAAACTAGGGGAAGCAGAAAAGAATATTTTTCGGTCCTTCGTTTTGTATGTGGCCGGGATCAATTCCCGCAATTAATTAGCCAAAGTCCGCAAATTGTTGCACCGGCCCTTTAACTGCCATTCATTCGCTCTGTGAATGCCATGTTAAAATTGGAGAGTTGGCCTGTCCAGCTCAGAGACAGTGCATCTTTGCCTTTCCACTTCTGTACAACCCCTTCTTGGCATCCATTGCAAAAGATTATAAAGTTGGGAAAAAATTGAATTATAATTATGTACATTATTAGATGTAGAGTTTTACGACGATGCAAAGTCAACGTGTGTACATTAACACCCTACAGACCGATCTTACCAACTAATTCGCTACTTCAAATTTAAAAAAAAAAAAAAAAAAAAAAATATATATATATATATATATATGCAGATTTTTTTTCTATCTTTTTACGCACTTGCACCACTCTACATTGGAGCAGCATCTTACCCTTACGTTTCCACGAGGCTGCGCTACGACGAAGCGACAAATGAAAAATTGCAATGTCTTCTACGCGGGCGTAGCTTCTCCGCAGTGCACCAGTGCGCGGTGGGAAGCGCACTTAGCG